AATATGACAAATAATCATAATTATCTAAATCATAGAGAAATTACAAATCAGATAATTCACTTAGATTTTATAATAGAAAATATATATTCAAGATAACAATCTAATACATAAGAATTTTTTTTTTAAAATCTAGTATTATTAGTATACATTCGTTTTATTATTTGATAAATTATATATGAAATTATTAAAATATGATAAATAAGCAAAGTATAAAACCATGGAGAAGTTGATAAATCAGCATTGCTTTCTTCATATTTAACTATTAATATTTTAACTTAATTTTTAATTTTTATGATAAAAAGATAATATTTTATAGATAACAATATAATAGATAAGAATTATCTTATTTTCGAAAAGTATAATATTATTGATAGAAATTCGTTTTTATTAAATAATAAATTGTATATGAAATTATTTAAATAAGGTAAATAAAAAAATTTACCTAAAATCAAGGAGAAGTTGACAACTAAGCAAATTTACTTCTCAAATAATAGTATAGATAATCTGACTCATTAGTATGGGTAGAAAATAACATCAATATACAATATAACATTCAATATGTTTCTCTAATTGTATCTGTAACAACCCCAAATCAAGCCCATGTAATATTTCTTTCTTTAAAGAGAAGCCCATTTGCAAAAGATCCAATAGAAAGAATTTCTAAGATACCCTTCTCTCTTTTTTTTTTTATAAAAGAATGTTTTCTCCTCATTTTCTATGCAGAAAGAAACTTAGCGAAACCCTGTAGAGATTCTGAGAGACTTAAACTCTAGCTGTCGGTCGCCTTCTCTGAGCAGCCACCATTGCCAGCCACCCTCCGCCACCATCTCTAATTTGTTCACTTCTTTATTGTCCTTTGTCATCATTCGTCAGATCTTTTTGATAAGCCTCTGGTCTACACCTCTTTCCTCTTCCTTTCAACTATTTGTCATTGGGTGTGGCATATCTGGTTCCTAACCCCCATTCCCATCTTCCATTGAGTGTAAGATTACAGATTTGCGGCTGTGTTTTTGCAGTCTTTTTCTCCTAGATCTAGATTTGTGTCGTCGAGTAATGCAAAGGCGAGGACTCGGTTGTGAATCCTTTTCATATTAGATAATGTCTTGGGCGTTAGTCCATTGTTAATATTGTCTAGATTTAGGTATGACTGGTGTTGATATTATGGTTTCTGATTGTGATGAAAGAACCTAGTGAATGATAACTTGTTAAATGATGAACCGGTTGCGTGTTGAGAACGAATGAGATGATGAATTGTTTGATAACATAATGAGTTGTTGATTGTGATGAAAGAACCTAATGAAAGATAGATGTTAAAGGATAAACTGATTGTGTAATGAAAAGGAATGAGTTGTGTGATAATGTTGAAAGTCGATGAGACTGCAGGGTGTTGTGACCCGTCGATCAGTAAATAGGGTGATGTGAACGCCGTCGATCAATTATGTTTGGGCAATACAAATGCAATCGATCAATTATATTTGGCAATACAAATACCATCGATTAATTAAGTTAGGTCTATAACAAATGCCGTCGATTAGTTTTATTGCATTAGAACGCGTCGAAGAAGGAGGGTGGGAACGATGGGGAGGAAAGCCTTGGTTTACCTTATAAGTTAGCAGCGCTGTCGATAACGATTAGGGTCGCTCATGGTGGAGACAAGTCCGCAGGCGAATAGGTCTTGAATGAGTTTAGAGTCTATGCTACTTGTGCTTGTTAGGTAAAATTATCTTGTGACTTATCTTGTTGCATTGTTTAATATGAAATGAGTTTGTAGGTTCCCAGAACCTACCCTCACTGAGTAATCTCAATTACTCACCTCTCCTCGTTGCAGGTACGATCGAGAGGAGAAGAAGTAGGAGTCGGGATTATGTACGTTATTTGGGTTTTGATGAGTTTAGTTCTTGTAAGCCGGTTGAGTTTTGAAATAAAGAAAGTATTGAACTGAAAATAAGTGTTGTTAAGGTTGAAAGTACGATCCTAGGGACAAGGTTGTTACAATTGGTATCAGCTGGGGGTTAAACTCATCCGGTGTTGTCCCGGGTGGGTCAGTGTAGATCGAAGTGTTTATATATGAGTTTCAAATGGTTTTCACACGTTTTACTAAATGGGAGTTTTCAAAAGATAATATAAAGGCACCATTCGAACCGAAGCTCCTCGCTTACTCAACAAGGTTAGTGAACTTTTTTTGCGAAAAGAATCTAACAAGCCATTCGTTGTATCAGGATGCCACCAAATAATACGAAGGTTACCTTGGCAATAACCACCACCCAAAGAGCAGCACAGTGTGCAGTTAAACTAAATCATGCGCTAAAAATTTGAGTGGAAGTTGTACCGATGTAGAGCCAAAGCTGAGAGACACATCAAGAGGAGTTTCGAAGAAGGGACAAGTTGTTGTGGATGTTGCCGTCTTAGAGGAGTTTCAGATGTACCGAGAGGTCTACAAAGGGCGAATGCCGAGGAATAGTGATTCAATAGGAGTTGGAGCCGGACAACCATCAACGGGAAACACCATGAACCATCCACCTCCACCACTGCATGTGAGAGTGCAAGGAGAAGGACCCTCATATTGGGACATGATGAAACACATGAAGAACATGCAGACAAAACTTTTGAGCGGAAGAGCGGATGCAATTGCTGCTGACAATTGAAGGAGACAGCTGATAAGAAACTTTGACGCAGCCAGGTGCCCGCCAGAGTTCCGCAAGGACTTGGCTGTCCACCATCTGAAGGATGATTCTTTAGTGTGGTGGGAAAGCATAGTGGAAGACCCGCAAGGACATCACAATCTGACTTGGACATACGTTCTTGAAGAATTTAACCAGAAGTACTTTCCACGGGAAGCGCTTGATCGAATGGAAGGCCAGTGCCAAGATATAACACAAGGAATCCAGAGTGTGAGAGAGTATGGATTCACGCGTCCTGGGAAAGCGCACTGGAACGAAGATTCCTGAAAGGAATGAGGATTGAACTCAAAAACAATTGCAACATTAGAGACTACTAGAACATAAACGAACTGATCGAAAAGGATCGGAACAAGAAGTTAGGCTGGAAGAAGAACACATACAAAACCAGGTTATCCAAACCAAGATGACGAAACAGACCCGAGAGGCCACAAAAGCCATAAACGTTACTCCAAAACAAACCGGGTGTGAAAGGTGTGGCCGAAACCACACTAGTGAATGCAAGGCGCCATCGTGCTTTCGATGTGGACAAGTGGGACATTTGAGGTCTAATTGCACACGACCAGGACGCGTGAATCCTTGGGGACCGACTTACTTACTTTGTCACCAGTGCGGTCAATTTGGACATCTAAAGGAAGACTGTTGGACACCACAAGCCAGGTTGGGAGTAAGGGGACCCCCACAACAGCCGCTCGTGCCACAGAAGCAGACAGCGAGGTTGAGATTGTTTGTTGCCAGAAACCATTAGCAAGTTAGGCTGATCACGGGTATGTATCTTCGTCTGATCTTAGTTTGCTTAAAATTAAATTAGTGAATGTGATAGCTTCTGAGTCTAGCAGTTTAGAACTAGTGAACTGCATAAGATTATTAGTGGTTGAGGGAAAGAGTTTCAGAAACCAGGCCGACGTTAGAGTTAACGATCAGCTATGAGCACCAAAGTTAATCCGCAGCTAGACCTGTAAGAAGATTCAAATTGGAGACCAAAGGAATCGAAAATGCCAAACCAGGAAAGATAACAATTGGTGTAGGAAATCATATTATCCCGATGTCGAGATCATGAGAGTAGTCCGGGTATGGAATTAAAGGATTCGTAGAAAAGAAGACTCCAAGTTAAGATTTCATTTTCGTAACAGCAAGAATGCATATGTACACTGGAAGAATGGTCTGAAGCCACATGTGTCATGTTTAAAGTTCTTTGAGATGAATGCCATACAAACTGCCACCAATAACTTTAGTCTCTCACGTAAACTGGGGCAAGGTGGATTTGGCTCAGTTTACAAGGTTGGTTCAGTTTACTATCCATCCACCCATCTATATGTCTGTCTATATCTAAATTCTTGGGATGACTTTTTCAATTTGTTTCCGGGAAAGCTGGATGGAAAGGAAATTGCTGTAAAACGGCTTTCTAGCAGCTCCCCTCAGGACAAAGAGGAGTTCATGAATGAAATAGTACTCATCTCAAAACTACAACACAAAAACTTAGTTCAGATTAATGACAATTTTTTTAAACACACATAAATTCAGTATTTTTGTACTGAATTTTAATAGTGTCCTGTTAATAGTTCCTTGTTAATATTAATAAATTGATAAACTTAATAAAATAATATATAAATTTGGGTTTAAGTTGGACTAATGTAAAATTTAACATAATTCGATACGTTGATAAGATAATAATTTTTTAAACTTTTATGTAAATATAGAGCCCCAATAACTTCATAAATTAATAAATATGTATATAAATTTATGTATATATATAAATCAAAACAGTGAAATACGACTCTAGTGTTGTATGTTGTGTCTTAAAATTAAAATTTCATTAGGACTCGTCTCTAAATTTTATTATTGCATTAAAACGTTCTAATTCCGTCTTTTTGAACTGCTTCAAAAAAATTGTGGAAAATTCTAAACTATATTTTCTTAAGGTAACTTTTTCCAACGACACCACAATGTGATATTTTTCTTCTCATGATCCATCAAAAATTTAAACCATGATTTATTTTAAACTATGAACTTCTCAAGATTTATCATTTTTATTTGAATAATCCAGTTAATAGACTATTGAGATATTTTTATAATTGAAACTAATAATCATAACTCCAAATTCATTTTGTATGTAGTCTCAACTAATAATTTCAATAAATTTTTATAAATAAAAGTAAAATTTAGAAGATTATGGATATATTCCCTCCGTTTTTTGAACAAATGTCACTTTGATATTTTTCACACAGATTAAGAAAGTGATGGAAATATGTGTAAGATGTTATTAATTATACTTCTCTAGCCAATAGTATTTGAGATAAATAAAATTATTTATAAAATAAATGCGATTTTCAATTAATTTTCAATTCAAAATAAATGTAATTTACATTGGAAGTGTAAAATGACATTTTTTGTAACAATAAAAAATTAAAATGACATTTATTATGAAACAGATGGAAAGGGAAAGAACCACACACATGCAATCAAAAGGGAAAGAACCACACACGCACACATATTACAGTAGCCCTCTCCGGTAGATGTTAATAATCAAGGGTTTATGAGTCCTCATCAATCCCAGCGTCCTTGAAGTTTCCCTAAAATATTGGTCATGACGTATACTGACATCCCCGTAACGGTCACCACCACCAGAAACAAGCCTGTAAGACGATCCATCAGCTTTCCGGAAGGAGAATGTGCTCTCAGGGCTTGACGCTGTCCCGTTGAGGAAGATTGGTTCATCTAGGGCTGCACTCCAAATCCCGGATAGACGGCAGCCAGGCCTAAACTGGAACTTGATGTAGAAATTGGTGTTTAGTCGTATAACATCTGATGATGATACAAATTTAACGAATCTAGGACGATCTCGCGAATCATTAATGCTCAATATCACTGCTTTTGTGCAACGTTGTCCTCCTAGTCCCCAATGGGAAAGCCAATAACGTGATAAACTGAGTAACCCGCCTGCAGGACGGATCGCATATGTGGTATTAGCCTTGATTGGTAGCTTGTAGAGATCATCAACTACTACTTCTTCTTCCTGACCAACAGCGACTGCAAATGCAACGACGAGGAGGGCGATCATCATCGTCATTGGAAGTGTCATTGCATTGCTTCTTTCCATCTTTGATGCTTCTTTTGTTTTTTTTTGTTTTTTCTTGTTTTGCTTTGTGCTTTTGTGTTGAGTATCCTAACACTTGCTAGGGTATTTATAGAGATTAAATGGACAATGGAGTTCAAAGTAACACCAATTATTTTTTGGTTTTTGTTTCTTCAACTTGTAGCCGTCCAACAACTGGGTCACTAATCGATTAAACAAAAAATTTATACTTTTTTATTGTTAGAACGTGTTTAAGCATCTAAACACATCCCTACAAATCTTGAGTCCATATCATGATTGATTTCGTCAACTCTTTATATTGTTTAATAAATAACCATGTTTCAAGCAAACTTATAAACTATTACTAGACTTTTACATGTGTATTCGCGCGAGATTATTTATATATATATATATATATATATATATATATATATATATTAATTAGTAAATTACGTTTCAAATTTAAAAAGTGACGAATTTGTGGTATTGTTTATACTTTGGTGTAAAATATTGTTGTTTTTATACTTGAGTAATTATATTTTAAATAAGTCTTTGAACCATAGTTGATAATAATTAAAATTTACTTTATGTGGTGTATAAACATTATATTTTATTTAATACTAACAGAATATTTTTAAAGTATCAAATTTTATAGTTTGCAAATAAATAACTTTTTTTTAATGGCTATATCTACATTAATAGGTTAATCTTATAGATTGAATCATTGAATGCCATGAGTTTTTGGTTAGATAGAAGAAAAAAAATATGATATACTATGTAATATATATAAAATGTTATGGAGAACTTATTTTATTTTAAAATTAATTTAAAATGTAATATGTAATTATATAAATTAAATTTTATTTGCAATTTTATTAATTGAGATAGAGTTTGACCTGCTCAGTACGTATATTTAATGTGAAGACATAAGTTTTTATATCCTTCTATCAATATTTGTCTACATAAAATTCGTTCAAAATTTTATTTGGCATGTGTGATGGATATGGATTAGTTTCTACTGTATATATATATATATATATATATTTATATATATATATATATGTGTGTGTGCTTGTATATTACTTTTTTGAATGTTATTAAGACTTTAAGAAATATATTACAGCACACAAGTTTTAATATCACTTATGACTTTTTTATATGTTATGAAATTATATTAGTCAATACTATATTGTGTAAAGAAAATTTGTTTATATATTCCATATGTAAGTTCTAGATTTACATAGACAAATTAGAATAAAGCTCCCAGCTAAGAATTTGTTTGTCTACTTTCTCTTGTATGAAGTGAATGTATTGACTTGTACAATTTTTTTTGAAAAATATTGACTTGTATAATCACTACAAGAAAACACATCGATTCCTAGAGACGATTTCCTCGGAATGTCGTCGGAATCAGGCGATTCCGACGATATTCCGAAAAAATGTCCCTCGGAAAAATCTCCTCGGAATCGCAGTTTTCGTCGGAATTTCCTGGGAATATTCCGAGGACATTCCGACGGACAATATTCCGAGGACATTCCGAGGAAGTTTTCCGATGGAACCGTTTGTCGGAATTTCAACGAAAATTTCCGAGGGAAGAAACTACTCGGAATATTCGCAGGAAGCCATCCGTCGGAATATTCCGAGGACTTCAATCTCTCGGTAAATTCCGAGGAAAGGTATTCCTCGGAATAATTCGAGGGATGGTATTCCTGAGAATATTCCGACGGAGATTCCGAGGAATGTTTTCCCTCAGAATATTCCGAGGAATATCATTCCTCGGAAATTTCGTAATTTTTAATTTTTTTAAAAATAATNATATAAATTTATTTTTAAAAAATTAAAATTCAAAATTAAAATTTAAAATTTTTAAATTGAAAATTGAAATTCAAATAAAAACATAATATAGATAATGTTAAAAAGTAATATTCAAAACAGAAATTCAAAACAGAAACAAGAAATAAAAAGAACTACTCCTCGTCGTCGTCGTCGTCGTCGAAGTTATGCTCTGGGAATTGCTTCAAGAACGCCTCCATCATCTTCTCACTCCGCCTCCTTTCTGCCTTACTAGCAGCCTCTTGAGCCGCCATCTTCGCCTCCAACATAGCGATGCGGGCATCCTTATCCTTCAGTTGATCTATCAGCATAGGATCAACTGGCACCTGGGATGAAGAAGGAGTCGACTTGGATCGACGACCCAAACCGACAAAACGTTCCTTCTTCTTTGGAATCGCCTGAAAAAGAAAATTTAAAATTATAATCATTATAAAATAAATAAAAGAATTGAATATTAAGAAAAAAACTTACTGATATAAGAAGCTCGTCGATTCGAACTTTGGAGAGGGCAGTCGATGCAGTGGATGTGGAGTCGAGATCGGCCTGGATCTGGGAGATACGGGCCTCTTCTTCTTCCCTCATACTGTCCACCAGGGAGACCACTTCTTGCGCAAGGCCGTCATCAATCTGGCCCGTCGTCTTGTTGGTGTGGATCCTCTTGTACAAATCGTAATCACCCACGGCCTCGCCATCATTTTCTTCCGCCTAGGAAAACACATAAGTTAAAAAAAACATTAGAATACATAAAAAATAAAAG